GGACATCTTGGCATTGAAAAAACTTACTCCCGCTTAGCTAGAACTTATTATTGGCCCACCATGCATTCTGATGTCGTTAAATATGTTAGGTCGTGCGATCGCTGCCAACGCTGTAAACCGGATCAAATGACGCCCGCCGGTCTTATGGGTCGACGCGTTGTGGAAACCCCTTGGACTGTTGTAGCTGCGGATATCATGGGTCCCTTTCCGTCAAGCAAATCTGGTGCCGTATACTTATTAGTTTTCGAAGACCTTTTTACTAGATGGGTAGAGTGTCGGGCCTTAAGGAAAGCCAATGGACCGGCCATATGTACTGCTTTTGAGGAATTGATTTTAGCTCGATGGGGTACACCTGAAGTGCTGCTTACCGATAACGGTACCGAATTCGTAAATAAGACCGTGAAAGAACTTTCTGTAGAATACGGGATCACTCACAGCACTATACCTCCATACCACGCGCAAGCTAACCCTGTAGAACGCGTCAACCGTGTACTAAAAACTATGATTGTCGCTTTCCTCGGACAAGATCACCGAGAGTGGGATAAACATCTTCCCGATTTCTGCTTCGCGATTAATACGGCTATTCATTCCTCTACGGGATTTACTCCCGCTTTTCTGAACTATGGGCGGGAATTGCAAGCAACGAACACGTTGAGGAAAGAGCTTGAACCCCCGGTTAAACTCGACCCCCAGGACCCTAAGCAATGGGCTAATCGCCTCCAACGACTGGAGCTAATTCGCGACCTAGTGAGGAAGAATGTAGACTCCGCCCAAACCAAACAGGCTAAATATTACGATTGTCATCATCGTAGCACAAAATTCGAACTAGGCGATCAAGTTCTCAAGCGCCAAAATGTATTCTCGTCACCCGCGCTAGGCGTATCTGCTAAACTAGCTCCGAAATTTTCTGGGCCTTTTGAGATTTCGAAAATCTTATCCGCAGTTGTCTACGAATTGAGTGATAATAACGGTAAATCAATTGGAAAGAGTTATCTCAAAACCCCAAGCGATACAATCCTACCACCTGAATGTATTCACCACTGTATGCCTATGCTTTCGCTATCTGTGCCTTATACTTATCTCGTGCATGGCTTGCTTTCTTTTTCTTATCACTTTTCTAGATTAACTCCAATGCCACTCTCTTCTGTTGTGCCGCTTTCTCTTTCTTGCGGAGCCGTGTACCCACACTCTCCTTCAGTACCAACCTCGGGGCCTTCCCTTCTCGCACCCTCACCAAAGCCCCACTTTTTATTTCGTTTTCCTTTTTTTTTTGTTTTGTTGAAATCGCAAATGCCGGTTTCACCCGATTCTTACTTTTCTTTTCGTCGGATCCCGTCTACCAAGTGCCCAGTTTCTTTAGTTACTCATTCCTCTTCCTCTCTTGGGTTCCGTTTAGCGCTTTTGTTTTTTTTTGGTCAAAACTACCGACCACCTCTTGTCCCAATCTCCTATCCAAGGCCCAGATTTTTGTTTGTCCTTAAATTTCGTTAAACATTTTCTGTGATCTTCTGAGTTCTTCGTGGTGCACCCAAGGTTCCTACCGACTTGTCTCTTCCGTCTTCATTGCCGTACCTAGATCTTTTTTTTATCATCGAACAATTTTCTTTCGCCTTTCTGGCATACACTCTCACGTAATATCGAATCTCGACCAGAGTTTTTTTTTGTTTGGGTGCCTATTAGTTCCGACTAGCACCAATGAGTATGATATCGTTCGCCTACCTAAACTTAAAGTTCGTTTTTTCGCTATCACTTCTATTCGGTCTTTCTTAAAATTTCGCAAGTCCCGTCTGGACTTAACGCCCTCTTGTATAAAGTATATCGACTATTCCAAAAGCTTTTCATTTTTCTTTTCTCGCGTACGAATGTTGGGAAACATCCCTGGCACCGTCGACCTTTCGCGGTAGATTTCTTTTCTGGATCTCCGGTAACGCAAGGTCTCGTCACCAGTACGGCTTCCGCTAGGGAAGGGGGAGTTGTGACGTGAATTTCGGAAATTCAGTCACAAAGATTGCTAGGAGTAGGGAACAAACATAATCCACCTGCAACGATCCTCCAAACGTCAGTCACCCGACATTCCAAAGACGACTTTGCTTGTCTCGCTTATCGTTTTTGCACTCTGTTTCCGCCTGTCGTCCTTTCTGCTTATTTCTGTTTCGCCTTTCTGCTTTTTTCGTTTTTATTTTTATTTTTTGAGCTTTCCTATTCGCACTCGCCTACCTTCTTTACCGTCCTGGGCAAATCTACGTCTACACCACGAGCACGAGGCTGGCCGCCAACGAGAATTCCTGAGCTACCGGACGAGCGATCGACAGAGGCTGGACCAAACTGCTGTTCGTTCCGGAGGACTTCCGTGGAGCCAAGGAGACCCGGGATGGGATCCCTCTACTACTTCTGCCGGCCGCCCATACGGACCGCAAAAAGGGCCTTCGCCACTCGTGCCGCCGATAGGAGGAAAGGATAATCCTCTATCGTGCCGCCCAGTCGCCGAACGTTCCCTAGCGCTCCTGTTATCAGTGGCCCCCGGAGAAGAAACCAGGGCCTACTCTTCGCTGGATCCTGCTGCTCACACCGAGGACTCACGATCGGCCGCACCAAGGATTCCCGCGCTCAGCTCGGCCCTCTCCGCCTATCTTCGGACTCGAGCCGCCTAATCCTTCGTCTCTGGCTACCGTTAAGCGTTAGATTTACCTATTCCGTATTATTATATTTTGCTATCGCTCCACCGTGCGAATTAGGAATGATCTCGAGTGCCCTGCACTCGCGGTGTTCTCCCCGGAGACCACCTGGCGCCCAACACTATTTAGTTTATCGCGTATCGGGTCTCGTGAATATCAAAATTTCTTGAGGGAGAATCATACGGCGTTTTGTGTACGGTTCCCTACTTTCTGAATACCTCTTATCGTCAATCTACTTAAGCTGTGAGATTTTGGTTTTCGGGGAATAACGTCGCAGTATTGTGACGTATTTTTACGCGATCGACATCACCGGAAAATGCAAGACCGACCGGCGCACAACTTACGCGATTCCTACGCGTTCCAGGCAACCCAGGGGCTAACAAATTTCACTCTCGAAATACCTAAGGTATTGTTGGGCGCCAGGTTCCAAACGGGAACCACGTATCAGTCTCTACGGTTCCTCTTCGCGTGCCTATGTTGGCTAACTCAGCTATGCGGAGGCGGCGGGATTCGGAACAATAGGTCGGATGGGTCAGACGATCACGCGACACACAAAATGATTCGGACACTTCGATCACTTCGGACACTTCGCGCGAAGCGCGACGATCTCTTACAATACCGAAGCAATTATTTACAAAAGAAATAGTAATTAATATAGATCGAATAGACAAAACCAAAGTACAATCAAAAGATAGTAACGGGTACTTCGCGTACCGTACGGATTCAAAGCCAAAGTCGTAACACGGCTAATCCGCGTTTACCAAAATACGACAACCGACCGTCAAGGACCTGCACGCGTTCTACGCAATACAAAATCGAAAGGTATAAATGCCTGACGGGCGGACGACAAGAAAACAATTCGGAGACGTTACAAAATTCTGATTCAATAATAAGATCAAAACAAAAATTCTAAACCGTGAACCCTGCCGGTCGACGGACCTTCGTGCCGTGGTCTTATACGAGGTGAGGGATTGTCCCTCCGCGTGTTCGTTACACGCGTAATCAAAACTTACGAAAACAAGAAAATCCGGTACCACGATTCGCACGAAGTTACGTCGCTCACAAAAGTCAGTTAGACTCGCTTACCACGGTGTTCCCTGGTCGCGTAATCCCAGAAAACCAAAGCGTCAACCAAATGGCACTCAGTGCACTCGCGTACTCACAATACAAATCAAACGTCTATCGCCGTCGCGTGTCCAAGCAAGATTCTCGATCTTCACGCGCTTTGTCTACGCGTGAAGAATAGCACCCCCTCCCTTTAGGCTACTGGGCGGCGATTCGCCCTGCGGACGAATCCTTCAACCCAGCGTCTTTGCCACGCGCCAGTTTCGAATTTGTCATTGCGACAATTAATAATTTTCATCTCTTGTGGACAATTCGTACCGCTCGGTCCTACGAAGAGTAACATTCGTTCTTGCGCGAGGGTGCACCAGGCGCCCCTGGATTCCCAACTCGCGGAAATATAATTATGCGCAAACTGACGATGGGCGCTATGCCATAGGGGTCGGTAGTGGTACTCAGTCGTGTAGCGCTGTACGCGCCGCTTCCAGTCATCGTGGTTGAGTACCAGCTGAGTAGAGCGCGTTGCTGCCGCGTGACGTCAAGCTGTCCCGCGTTGCGCGCGTCTCCTGGGCCAGTAAAGCTGCTGTCCGCAGATAGCGCGAGGTCGACCCTCGCGTGTCGCAGCTCTCTTCCTCCTGGGACTCCAGCTGGCTCTCCCTCTCTCGTTCTCCGCGTCTTCACGGGCACGGCGAGCGAGCACCTATTCGAACTCCGGCAGAGTACACGCAAAACAAAAGAGGATAATAAAATAATCTATCGAATTTTTCCTTAGGCTCTTGCGGTCGGTGGATCCTGCCTGGACTTTGCAATGGCCTTTTAGGCCCGTATCGCGTTTCGGCGTGATTTTCCGCCGAGGACAAGCCAGGTGAAATCCACCACGTCACAGTATATATATATATATCCAAATACATGACACACACACACACACACGCGCGCGCGCGTTCCATATTTTTCCATGTAGTCTGTCACCCGGTAGATTCACCCGCTCCCTTAATTGGTTAATATCACTAATAATGATTAATTACTAAAAAATTATCTATGTTTTAGAATTGTATCCTTTATTCGATAACGCACACTCTGGAAATAGTTTTGGAACACCATATATTGTATTGAACAACATATATTGTAACGAAAATGAATTTTCGTTAGTAGAGACGATTCGGGAGGGATGTGGTAAGCGGCTGGCGTAGCTCAGTGGTCAGAGCAGTCGACCGGTAATCGAAAGGTCCCGGGTTCCAATCCCGGCCCAGACGACCCGCATTTTTTCCAGATTGTCCCTTGAAAAATAACCCCTCCAGCGGGTTATAATATATATAAATAGAATTGATTAATACGTACTAATTATAATTGGTCATTGGAGGCAGCCCGAAGAGCTGCCTCAACCGAACAATATTTTCACCGCCCAATCTTCCTCTTCAAAGAGGAGCCAGCCGTTAAGCTCGCTCTTCCGAGCATAACGGTGGCTCCTCTTCGCCACCAGATCTTTTATAGAAATGTATCCGTTAAGCTGTAACAATGAAACAACACGTTATATAATAGAACTTTTTTGAAATATTTAGTTAGTGTATTAAGAGACACTTAGAAGACACTACACTCACTATCAAGATTATTTCTCCTCGTCGTCGTCGTACCATAGTTGCGTTTTCTATTCTAACTCTGAGTCGAACGGATGAGTCGAGTCGAATCGGATGAATCGCTCCAGCTTACCCCCACTTGTAGTTCGTAGAAACTAGGATCTAAATGCACACACGAGCGAACGGTCCACTTGACCATTGTATATATTGCACTAAGGACAATAAAAATTTGGACGATGCCATCCAGGTGATCGATACGCGTTAAGGTCATGATGAAAAATTCTTTTTTTCCTTGCACACGGTTACATATTTTAATATATTTTATAACCCCATGGGAGCGTATCCGTTGTATGAGCAACAATCGCTCTCTTATCATCATTCCAACCTAATGCTATTTTCTTTTGCTCAACAGTATAAACCTCATGCTTTTTGCTTTGAATCAAATTTTGAGGTTTAATCAAATTATTTCGACACTCGAGACACTGTAGATAATCATCGAAGGTTATCGTCTTTAACGTAGATCCTTTGATTCCTTTCGCACGGTTCTTATCCCTAGTTTCGCATAAAATTCAAAAACTATACAATTTCGCCCGCAGTCCTACGAACTCCGTCATGATTTTACCATTATTTTCATCCTTCATCAGACCTAGAACTTTCTTATTGACTAATGGTATACCGTATACATTATCCGACGGATAGTCTGAAGTGTCGAATCTGTGTACATCGCGCTTAATTAATTCGTATACATTGGGAACATTAAAGTGGTATATCAAGCTATCCGTGTCGGTGTACATTAATTTTGCTTTCTCGCCGAAAGTCTTCTTGATGTAATTATAGTGAAAATCATAAATATATGTTTTAGAGATGTCCAGAATTGAAAATCCTACGTATATAGGTTTATTGAATATAATTCTGGTACAATTCAATTCGATTATAACCATATTCTCGTCAAAGACGGTGCAGCATCCACTTGACCATTGTATATATTGCACTAAGGACAATAAAAATTTGGATGATGCCATCCAGGTGATCGGTACGCGTTAAGGTCATGATGAAAAATTAATTTTTTCTTTTTTTTCTTCCTTCCTTGCACCGTACTTGTAGTTCCTAGAAAAACTAGGATCCAAATGCACACACGAGCGAACGGTCCACTTGACCATTGTATATATTGCACTCAGGACAATAAACACTTGGATGATGCCATCCAGATGATTGGTACGCGTTGAGGTTATGATGAAAAATTCATTTTTTTCCTTGCACACGATTACATATTTTAACATATTTTATAACCCCATGGGAGGGTATCCGTCGTATGAGCAACAATCACTCTCTTATCATCATTCCAACTCAATGCTATTTTCTTTTGCTCAACAGTATAAACCTCATGCTTTTTA